TATAATTGGTCCACTGTTGAACTTCATTAACCTTGTTCGGCACTTAGTCGCATATTGCACGTATCTTTCATAAGAGTAATACTTGATTATGCTCTTTTTCTTCTAGGGGTTGACATCGTAATGGGTTTTTGAGATATTGTCATGGCCTCCTCGGTAGCCATATCCGCGACCATGCCCATGACCTTTGGTTTCCTTGTTATGGTCGCCGCATTCCTTCTTTCCTGAAAAAGACGAATCAATCCAATCTTTCTCTTTTGTCAATGCAAGTCATTTCTCAGTGTGTGAGAAAGAAGTGCTTCTCCTCCTCTCATTATAGGCAAAAAATCTCTCCTCATTGGCCTTATGATGATGACATCTTCAACTAACACCTTATTGAGGAAGTCGAACTGTTTGATGGAGGTAAAAATCCACATGAATCTCGGAGGGGGTACGAATTGAAGGAACTTCTTGACGATAGAGATCTTCTCCACCTTGTCGCCTAACGAACGAATGTCAATCATCGTCTCCCACGTAGCCTTTGTCAAACCCTTCTCTACTAACATGAGAAAGCCGTCTTCAGGGATTACTTAGTATGCTAGTGATGGGTTTGGACAGTTGCAAATGGTATCAAAGCCAGACACCGGGTGATGTGCCAGTGAAGAGACTAAGCCCCAAAGGGGTTGGACACGAGGCAGTGTGCAAACAAGGACGCTGGCCCCGAAAGAGGTGGGTTGGGAGACCCCACATCGATTGAAAAAGAGAATGAGTGTCAATGGGAACGTTAGGCCCTGAAAAGAGTGCATTGTGAGATCTCACTTTGGTTTGGAAGGAGAAAGAAACATTTTTTATGAAGGTGTGGAAATCACTCCCTACCCGAGACATTTAAAAAACTTGGAGGAGAAGTAGGGAGAGAGCCCATAAAGACAATATCTACTAGTTGTGGGCTTGAAACGTTACAACAATTCTCACCAATTAAGAAGGTTAGAAATTAATTAAGCTAAATTCATGATACACATGCAGAATTTTAGATGCATGGAGGTTCTTTTGTCAAGGACATGAATGATATGTATGTATGCGTTTATTTAATTTGTATTTCCTAGTTGTGTTTCTTGGATATTATACATATGGTCAATTTTTTGTCTTTGTAACAAAGCCAAACAAAGACATACGAAGAAATTCAAAGACAGTTGAAGATAAAGAAACATTATTTATTTTATTTTTTTTATGTTAAATGTTGTTAGAGAACAAGTTTGTTCTCTTAAACCAGTGACATTTAGGTGAAGTATTGTGTGTCTGATCGACATTTCGAATAAAGTTGTATTAGATTAGAGGTCAAAAAAAATGTGATTGTGGCATCAATTTATTTGATTCGAAGGAAAGAAGCATTTAAATTATAAAAACATACAACTATTTACAATATCCAAAATTTAGTTTTGGAGTTTAGGCACATTAGATAACTAAATTCAAAAGGATCCACACAAAAATGGACACAATATCCAAAATTTAAGTTTGGCTCTCTATGGCGCGTGTCCTCGACCAGCTAGTCTGTAACAACCGAAAAAAATTATGAACAAAAAGGTTGTTCCACATTTGTCGGAGAGAATGAACTCCAATATTGTTCGACTTACTGAATCACAACAATTGCTCCATTTCATCTTACTTGGACGGTTTGGAGCCAATCGAATTTCCAACGACTTTAACTTGACTTCTCGACTGATCCAACTTAAGTCTTATACGTTTGGACCATTTTCTACCATTTTCAACTTTTCGGAGTTTTTTTTTTTTTTTTTTTTTTTAAACACCTTTGGAGGCTTACAAGGTGAGTATGGCTACTATTTAGCTGATTTAAATTATTTAGAGGTAAGTTTAGGTTATTTTATGTAATTAAATGAGTCAATTTTCATACTAGAATTGTAAATTAACATTGTGAGACAGGTTCGGAATTAAATTTTAAGGAGAACTTTAAGCTAACATCAAAGGAGCTAATGACTTTGACTTAGACCAACCAAGTAAGTGACTTTACTATTGACTTTGTTGGATGTGTTGTTTGATAGTGAAAATTTGAGAAAATCAATCAAAGTCAAGTTTGAAAGGTAAATTGGTTATTTCTCTGGGCCAACGTGAACATTCTCAAAGTAGCACACAACCGTACACCCCTTGGAGTGAGGCTTGCAAGCCAACCATGGCATTCCTTCTCATAGCACCAACTTTTACGGAAGCAAAGTCTAGACTGCTGCTAACTAACTGAAATCAATGTGCCTTAGAAAGATTACGAGAATTGTGCCCTACTTATGAGCTTGATTGCTACTGATAACTCTCCAAAAGTAGAGCTATATCAAAACGTAATCTTGCACTCATACTCACCATTTTCTCACTACTCCATTTATTCTAATTAGTATACATGAAATAGTTAATTGTGGTTTAATATGAAAAGAATATCAATTTGCATAAATCGAGCTTAATTGTACACTTAATTGAGTTATTTGGTAAAATTCCAGAACATTTATGCCGAACCATGATGCTGTAGCAAATCTGGAAACAACACTACTTGCAAATCTGGAAATAAATTGTTGATCCTGATGCTGAAGCAATTTGGAATGCAAACTTTTCGGGGATGACATGAAAATTTTAATCTACGTCAGCAGTCCACGTGGATCATTGGTTACCAAATTAGAAACATTCTAGGTGAACGATTTTATTCTTTCTCAACCATAAATGAGAAGAAACAGACGTTATAAAAGAAAAAGGATACCTAAAAATGGAGGGAGAGCCACAATTTAGAAAGTAGATTTTCGGATTAGACAGCAGCAGCATCTGCTGTAGACGAAGATAACCATAATCCAGCCGCTGTTGACAGGAGAAGGAAAAGAAGATAAACAAGAACGGCAACATAGCGGGATAACTCTCTATTTCATTATTCTCTTTTCTTATTCCATCAATTTTACATGATAAAGATGTGGAATACTCTGTTTAATTCCGTTTGTAGGAGAACTAAACTCTATAGGCGAAGTGAGAGAGTTTTATATAGTTTAAGTATGTTGGCGGTATGACCTTAGTTTATTAAAGAGTTGTTATTAATGATTTACGTGTGTTTAAAGCTACTTTACATAGATATTTGTCTCTTATTCGGGAGAAGAGAGGGAGCAATGAAACCCTCCTAAATACTCTAGTTTCATCGCGAGGAGATTTGAAGGTAATAGAAGAGTTAGGAATAATTCTTTTCCGACAACCTTGTTAATAGGAATTAAAAACGGTTATGGAAATAATCACGATGGAGGACCCTCGGAATTGGGCTTGAGAATCTATTAAAAAGAACTAAAATCTACCACAAAACTCAACAACTTATCTATTTAATCTCTCTTAGCGGGACCTTCCTCATTATTGTTAATTTCCTCATCATTTTCTGTTTTTCCGACAATAGTGGCACTCTGCTTTGTTTCGTTTAATTAATTTAAAATCACCGAACACCTATTTGAATGTTATTCAAAAACTCACTTAATTTCGAGCGATAAAATTAACCGAAAAGATAGGTTCTTTGTGAAATCGATAATTTACTTATTACTTGCTTCTTGTGATAGTGTATACTTGCACTTTTTCTTGTGAATTTTACATCATTTTATTATATACATCCACAAGCAATCAGCTACTAATGATTTTTTGGAACACACCCAACTTGGTGTGCCTTCTGATTTTCTACTGCTCACATTGGAACTCCAAGCCCTTGGCAAATGAACTTGGTCTTACTTCTTGAGGGGTAAGGACTAACATCGTTGATGTGTTACACCCGACACACTTGAACTTAGGGTGTTTTGGTTCAACCCATTATTATCTTTGATGCTTGACAACACAACTGCCTTGTCGATACTAACACTTTTGATGCAATTGTGATGTCTTCATTCAACCCTCGGGTTCTTTTTCCTAACAATCTTGTTCGACTAGACACACAAAGTGTGGCTTTGTTACCAACTGTCACAGTTGTACATTTTCAACCGTATGACGTCATGATCTTGACACGCTCACAACAAGCTTTAAGAGAACTCCAAACCCCAAATACATTTTTCACACGCCTTTTTGGCTTCACTAGATCTTATGTGAGGTTTGTCTTTGCCAACCGAATACAACTTGTGCGGAATCTAAGCTAGTTCAGCCACACACACCGCCCGTGCATGCATGTTCAATCATCTGCAACTTAACCGTTTTGTCTGTATGTTAGGCCAAGTCATCGGCTTGACATTGCCTCTACTCGGGATCAAGGTCTCTCATGTTCAACATCGTATCTCATATTCTCATCTTGATTTCAAATTAACATGGCTCACATGTCTTGACGCCATCCTAAGTCGCAGAGTGTCGTCGGCATCATAGCTCTCACTCATGCCCATCAAGAACGAGCCCATGTGTCGCTCATAATACCGAAACATCTTGAACATCCATCCATTTTGGTTTTATCGAGGCTTTGGACCCTTTCGTGGCCGTGACATATCGTTTACAAACTTTGTATCGGATAGCAGGTGTCTGATCCAACCTCCAACACATGGGCTGGAGTGCAATGTCAGCACACTCATGTTGTCTGACACTGTCCTTGAAAGATTCATTTCAAAGGACGTCACCCGAGACACTCATCTCACAATGCTCACTCACACTGTGACACATGTATGTGCGAAATGGCAGCTCGCTTAGGTCACAAAGGCCTAGAGGTGGTGGAGAGTTGATACCATGTCTCTCCCTAAGGTACATTCTGAGGCATTTTTTGTCTGGGAAGTGTAGACATGAATTTGGTGAATGGTCATACGGTGTCGTGGAACATCCGTCCGGTTTTCGATTGACACCAAATTTGGTGAGCTTCCATCTTTCATATGTAAGGACTTAACTCCAGAACTGCATACCCGAATTTCTATGGTCTAGGGTCCTACCCAACCCTTTATCAAACCTATCTTTGTCCCTCATGTCAACATCGTTGCCTCCATCTCCCTTGTGCCTCAGTATGGCCTCAATGCACATATCTTTGGTGTGTTAGATGATACACAATCCTCCTCAATTCGCATCATCGCACATTCTTGTCTTAATCTTCGCGTGGTCGGTTGGGTGCCACTTCGTGTCGCCACCTTGTCATGACTGCATATGAGGGTCATGACCTACTCTCTTCATAGTACAATTGTGACATAGGGTACATGAGTGCGAATGTAAGTCTATTTTTTCCCTGTTCCACTTTCGTTTGTAAGTTTTTCTATCTAATTTCGAGACATTCTATTGTGACTTGATTTAGGACCTATCAAAGAAATTTCAGGAAATTTGTGGTCTTCAACATGTGGAAAAGCTAGCTTAAGAATGCACACTTTATCCAAGAAAGTAACCACACAGAATGTTCTAGCATACGAGCATTCCTTACTTTAGATGGTTAGAAAATGCATTTTAAGGATTTCATAAAAGTATTTTTGGATGAGTATGTTGTATGTTATGGTAAAATTACGGTTATGCCCCTAGGTTGAGATTTCCGAGTAGCATGATATGTTTTATACAAAGCTAGAAAGAGAATATGCATGACTAGAATACGAGTTGGGCCAACTAACCTCCCTTGGATGACGAGCAGACTAGCTCTTACCATGTTGTTCCCACTTGGTATGGAGTCTATTGAGGTAACTCTTACCATGTTGTTCCCACTTGGTATGGAGTCTATTGAGGTAATATCTCATCTTTAGTTATCGGTTACCACTGCATAGGCTAAGCTAGCTACCCAAAATTGTGCACAACAAAAACAATACTCTTAGAGTCCAGAGTAAAGCCCGTGATCTCCTGCTAGATCAAGGATGTGATGAGAGCCTACAAGTAGGTTGTTTACTAGTATATACTCATCCCTTTTTTCCTTTCTTTTTCTGGTGTTCATAGGCTACCAGTTGAGGTGGAGAAGTGTTTAAAAACTGCGCGGTCACATGGTCATCTAGAGCATCATTCCATTTTTTTTTTTTTTTTTATGAATCATTTCTATTTCGTTTCCTAATTGTATCCGGAACCATTTTTCCCATTTGTAATACATTTGAGCAACAATTTCTTATAATTAGATTTTATTTTCTATTGAGTGTCAGTGTTTTTAATTTATTTATTTCCATTTAAAATTTATGAGATTTTCATCCTTTATTTTATTATACTTTTTTTTTTTTTTCACTTTCGTCTTTTTAGTCTCGATTTGGGTATTGAAGCCTCGAAATTTGGGTAGCGACAATTTCAAATTTCAAATGCATTTTCGAGAACAAACACTATTAAAAAGTTATCGTCGCCGATAAGTTCTCATTGAAATTTTCAATGACGAATCATGTTCCCACCTATCAAGATACATATTTATGTGAACTCATTTTTTTTTTTTACTCCAACAGTGAAGTTATTGAATATTTCATTGTCTCCTCAACCGACGTCGTTATTGGTACATGGGTAGTTGCCTTCACTTTGAAAAATGTAAAACAGAGAATGAAAACCTTCACATCTGAGTCTACACTTATCGAGAAGTGTTTTTCGTAAGGAGTAAGGTATGTTACTTATTGAATTACTAAACGTCAAACCTCAGTATCTCTACCCCTCCCATAATGGGTTACATGGTTGGAGTATCACTAGACATACGGTTAGAGAAAGAGAATTAGATACCCACATACCTTCAGAGGATTAACTCCTTCTTTCACAATGTGTTGAACAGGAAAATGAAATTGCCTTAGTTCAGTTTTAATTTAATTTATCCTTATTTCAATTGTCATTTCTATATGTTTGCAAGTTTATAAACATTTAAGTCCTTAACAAATTTTAAGATAAAATATTTTTAAGTAGTTTTCCACACAAAACCTTCCTAATATATATGTAATATCGATCTTATTTTAAAGAAAAATGTCAGAGTCATTATAAAAAATTTTACTCGTGTCTGACTTCAATAAATGTAAATATTAGTTTAAGTTCGAGACCGAAAGTCCCTTACCAACATATAAATGAGGGAGGAGCTACGGCAAAGACAGATCTTATCTTTCACGTATAAGAAAATCAGAGTTATTTACTCGAAAGTACTCGATTTGGTTTGTTTTATGTTGTTTTCTCTCCCATTTCATAATAAAAGAAACATAATGAAGAAAATGAAAGAGAAGAACAAAAGGCACACACATGACTGACTAAGGTTCATTTCCATCTCTTTTCCCTACGTTAACAAACACAAGAAGGGAAGAGAAGAGATGGACAAAAGAACCAAAGCCAAACTAAAATAGTAGCTAACAATACAAACAATATGCATAAACCCCCATCAACCTATTTGCTTCTTTTTCTCCTTCTCTTTAGCTTCATTATTACCTGCAATAAAGCAACCATTGATTCATCAAAACATGTAAAATGCCCCCAAAAAAAGTGAATTTTTTCATCCACATTCATTGCATTCTCTAGTATAAAGCAATCTAATAGCCGAAGTCCACCGCTCGCAGATTTTGTTCTCTTTAAGTAGACCTTTCGGACTTCCTCTCAAGGTTTTTAAAATGCATCTACTAGGGATAGGTTTCCACTCACCTTGGGGGCCAACGTCCTCGCTAGCACACTATTTGATTTTTGGCTTTGATACTAACTCTAACAACCCAAGACCATTGCTAGCAGATACTGTCTTCTTTGAGTTTTTCCATTCGGGTTTTTCCTTAACGTTTTTGAAACGCATCTCTAGGGATAGGTTTCTACACCCTTGTAAGGAATGTTTCATTCTCATCTCTAACCAATGTGCGATTTCACAATCCACTCCCGGGGGACAACATCCTTGCTAGCATACCATTTGGTCTTTGGCTCTAATACTACCTATAATAGCCCAAGTCTATCGCTAGCATATATTATTCTTTTTTGGCTTTCCTTTTCGGAATTTTCTTCAAGGTTTTTAAAATGCATCTACTAGCGAGAGGTTTCCACACTCTTATAAGAATGTTTCGTTCTCCTCTCAAACCAACATACGATCTCTAAAAGATCCAACTTTCTACAAAAACATGTTCAAAATAGTTTCATAAACCCAAGATCAAGCTCAAAAAACAAAAGCATTGATCAAATTCAATGTGTTTTCACATTCAACTAAGTCTCCATTAACCTCTCTTAAGATTTAGTTTAAATGGGTCTTGATCTAAATTACATTTTCTAGAGAGAGAAAGAGAATTAAAAAAAAAAAAAAAAAGAAAAAGAAAAGAGAGTACCAGAAGAAATTATTGAGATGGGTTTGAGCTTCAGAGTCTTCAGAATCATGAGAAGGAGAATGAACATGTCTTCCTTCATAAGTTGTAATCACCATTCTTGGATCCTCAGCTAATCTCTCCACTCGTTTCTTTACCCTACAGTGATCTTGTGTACAACGGTAATAGCTTCTGCATTGCAAAGAAAAGTAATTAAAAAAAGAATGAATTTTTCATGATTACTTCCTTAGTTTTGATATAATCATTCCCCTTTTTGATGTTTTTGAAGCCTTATAATTACTTCTTTCTCAGAAATAATGATGAAAAACATCAAAATTTGAATCTCACAAAAAGATAACGAATCAAATGAACAAAAGATGGGTTTTTTAAAATTTTTGTTTACCGAGGATGCTGTGTGTTCTTGACAACTTTCTGGCCATACTTCCGCCATTTGTAACCATCATCAAGAACATCCACATCGCTTAGGGTTTTGAATGAAAATCTTGGCTCTCGAACTCTTCTTCTTCCTTTGATCTTCTTCATCTTCATTGTTGAAATTCCCAATTGATTTTCATTGCTTCTCTTCCCAATCTCTCCCCATGGCCTTCAAACACAAAATCAAATCTCAAAATCATTCATAAAAACAAGATTTTTTTCAAAAATTTAAGAGTGTTGGAGGGTACTCACCATAGATTTGGAGTGGAAGTTTGCAAGGAAAGGAGGTGTGGAGGTGCAAATTCATAGAAAGGGGAGGGCTTGAGGGGCAAATTCATAGAAGAAAAAAGTAGGGTTTCGGAGAGATTAAGGTTGGTGTCGGAATTATTATTATTGTTGGAGGTTGAGAAATTTGGATTCTCAAAGGGGTTTGAAGGGAAATTGAAGAAACCCATTTGAGAAATTGGTGGTGTTTGATGATCTTGATCTTCAAACAAAGCTTGTTGTGGGTTCAATAGGAGTTGGGATTTGGAACCCATTCTTGGTTGGGTATGGCTATGGCTATGGCTATGGCTTCTTGGTTCTTCTTCTTCTTCTTCTTCCTTTGTGCAAAAGGGATGGCTTTGAAGGGTGAGAAGAAAGAGGGTTGAAGTTGAAGCAATGGGTGACAAAGAGAATGTAAGGTTAGCTATTTTATATATACGAGAATTGGCTAGATCCTTCCTTTACGTATCCCTACTTACCCTTTTTCTTTTTGCTATGCTTTTTACTCTTTTTTCTTTTCTTTCTTTCCCCATTCTTCACTTGTCAGAATTTCGAGGTAAAGTAAAAAGTTGATTTTGGAGTTCCATATTAGTTAATTACACCAAAAATTAAAAGTAAAATTACAAGACTTTATGCTCAAAATATCTTATCATTCTGGAGGCCTGTTATAATAGATTGAGTCCATAACTAATAAATATTGTCCGTTTTAGTCTGTTATTATTTTCGTTACCCTATCGCTAACATATAGTCTGTTTTTGCTCGTTATATATTGGCATCAGCCCACCGCTAATAGAAATTGTCTGTTTTGGCTCTTTACCTATTTTTGTTAGCCTCTGCTAACAAATATTGTTCGTTTTTGCCCATTACATATTGTCATCAACCCACCACTAATAGATATGGTCTGTTTGGCTCGTTACATATTGTCGTTAGCCTACCTCTAACAAATATTGTTCGTTTTGGTCCGTTACGTATTTTCGTCAACCCACCGCTAATAGATATTGTTTGTTTTTGTCCGTTACGTATTGTCATCAGCCCACCGCTAACAAATATTGTCTGTTTTGGCCTGTTACGTATCATCAGCTCACCACTAATAGATATTGTTCGTTTTGGCCCGTTACGTATTGTTGTCAGCTCACCACTAATAAATATTGTCCGTTTTGGCCCATTACGT